GTCAGTAGTAAGCGATAATCCAAGTAGGCGTAAAGAGGAGGACTCAGTAAGAGGATTGCCATTCATTAATATAGGAATGTTGACCATATTACGGTAGTTGTTTGCAGTAAGCAACTGGGTTTTTTTAGAGTTGAAATTCACAAGCCACTGTGAACCCCAATCTATTACTGAAGTGAGATCGGATTCAAGATCAGCTGCTTGTTCTAGGCGATCAAAAAGAGAAGACTTTTTGTCAAGACAGGAGTATAAAGTTGAGTCATCAGCAAAAAGAGCTACTTTAGATGAAAGGTTGTCAGGAAGATCGTTTATGTAGATAAGAAACAAAACAGGGCCCAGGATGGAACCTTGGGGAACCCCAGAAGTTACTGGAAATAAAGAAGAGTGTTGGCCTTCAAGGATGACTTTAATAAACCGGTTAGTAAGAAATGATTTGATAACCTCAAAAACTTTTCCAAAAACACCATAGCATAGCATTCTTCACCAAGCAAGCTTATGGAGAAGACCAGCATGCCAAACTTTGTTGAAAGCTTTAGATATGTCGAGAGCAATAGCCCTAGCCTCACCGCCTCCATCTAATGCACGATAAAATCTTTCAGTTACAGCAGTTAGCAAGTCGGCCGTAGAGCAAGAGGATCGAAAACCGTATTGATTGTCTGAAGTAGTTTATTTGACTCAAGATGAGATGTGAGGAATTTGTTGATCAAAGTCTCAAAGACCTTGCTAATAACAGAAAGAAGACTGATCGGACGATAATTATAGGGGTCAGAATTTTCTCCAGAGTTTTTGAATATTGGAACCACAGATGCCATTTTCCAACAAGCAGGAAAACAAGACTCAGTCAAACACTTGTTAAATAGTTTAGAGAGAATTGAAGAAAGTTCTGGAGAACAATTCTGCAAGACTGTGACATATATATATATATATATATATATATATATATATATATATATATATATATATATATATATATATATATATATATATATATATTTCAGAAGCCAATAAAGCTATTATCACAGCAGTCAACAAAAATGCTGAAATTGTATTTTCAAAAAACTTAACTATATTGTCACTTTTAATGTTGTTGGGCATTTCTCAACTTATTCATCAAAAAAGTTCAACAATACCACCAGTTTAACTACATGGTTTAACAACCAATTAATTCCCTCTCTCCCAAATTACAATCTCTATCGTTTAGAACATCTAAACCAAATCACAGGAGACTTAGCTATTTACACAAACCATATAATCATCTTAAACCAACTAGAGGAATCCCTACTACAAAAAGATTTTTTTCTCATAGATTTTAAGGACTTCCAATTCAGTCTTCTCCTCTAGTAAAATCTATCTTGATTCTTTATTTTTCTCTCATTTTCAAGATTATCACCAGGCAATACTGATTGTATGTGTAAAATTATCGCATTTCAACAGCTCTAAATTCATTTACAAGCTTAGTAACTTATTACAAGCTTAGTTAACTTAAAGCTTAGTAATTCATCCCTCGTATGTCAAACAAACCGTTCCAAAAAAAAAACAACCATGAATGACAAAAGAACTATTATATCTGATTCATCTTAAAAAACCTCTCTGGGTTCATATTGTCAGTTCAAAATGGAAAATCACGTTCCTTGTCCAGCAATATAGAGAAACTAGAAAGTTCGTTAAAAATTTATTATTTACTGAAAACCTTCAGTCACGCTCAGAGGAGGTTACTTGCTTCAAAAGAAAGTAACCTTCTCTGAGCGTGACTTGGGAATCCAAATTACCAATGATCCAAAAAAGTAGAAACCCAATCCATCATTACCTCATTTAAAGCAAATCAAATGCTAGGCATCCGAAAACACTTTCTCCTGATGCTTCCTTATGGAAACAACTATACTCTACCTATGTCAGTCCTTTACTTGAGTTCCAGTTTGGAACCCTAATTTGGTGAAGAATGAACAAATTATTGAGCTAATACATGGAAGAGCTACAAAGATACAAGACAAACTGAAAAAATTAGACTAAAAGTCCAGATGTTTACAACTTGGCCTAACTTCTCTAGTCGATTGTTGTAAACAAGGTGACCTCATCCAAAAATATAAGATTAATAATAACATCAACATAGTCAAGTGGTACTTTTCCCTTATCACAATTCCACCTAGAGCAAATCACAGAGAGAGACCACTGTGGAAAAAAAAGCAAAAATTTAGCTTGTTTTAACTTTTTTTAACAACCGCATGAATTATCTTACCAGATAAAGTAATTGATTCTCCATCTGTCAATAGCTTTAAATGTATATATATATATATATATATATATATATATATATATATATATATATATATATATATATATATATATATATATATATATATATATATATATACATATATATTGAATATAACTTGGTATTAATCAATGATGAAATTGAAAAAAATATTTACCTACTTTTTTCTGTTATGCAAAACACCTCCTCCATCATAGTACATCTGCCCGATTCCATGAACTAAGAAAACTATGTGTGAAATTTCTTCAAAATCATCGCTTTCATCACAATCTATATTATACCCACGATGCAAAGCAACAGCTCCTACAATATAAAAGATCACAAAAGAATCAAAAAGGAAGAAATTTTCCTAATAACCCTGATGTCATAAATTGTTTTTGAATCTGAGAATCGAGGGTTGTAAAAACTCTTCCAAAATCTGCTTCTGCCTATTATTTGTCTATAATATTTCCAAAAAATGTATGCTATGTTTGCAAGAAAAATGTGAAACAAGCACCCATTTAGATTAAAAAAATGTATTAAAGAAAAAAATCAGAATTAATATCTAAATGCAGACATAAAAATAAGTACCTTATAAAAAATTATAAATATAAATACTTTGGTATAGAAATTTGCAAATTTGTAATTTAACATTTTAAACTCCTTAGTTAAAGTAATACAAATTAATCATTTAGGTCAGTATGGTGATAGCGGTTTTATAATGATGTCACTTTTAATCTCTTTGAAAATTTGTATAAATCTTACAAAAAGCCTAATGATTGTATATTAATATTGATTCAAACCGTTCCCTTTAAATTTTAAAACAAATTCCGATTTTAATTAACAACGGGCTAAATCAAAACTCTTCTAATGAAAATATTTTTAACTCTTCTAAATGTGTTTATGAAGATGCTCTTAAAAAAACCGAATTTAAAAATATTGAGTTAAATTTTCAAGAGAAAATTGCAAAAAAAGCAAAAAAGAAATATAATTTGGTTCAAACCCCTGCACCGCAAAAATGTTTCAACAAATATTAGAAAAGCGTTTTTTAAATTAGTTAAAATACATTTCTCTTTCCAATAATATGCACACATTTTTTAAAGCAAGTTAAAGCAATATTTTTAATAGAAATACTAATAAAGTAAGCTTTAATTGTACAAAAAATATATATAAATATAATAATAAAAACGAATTTAAAAAAAAAATACTAATAGTTGTAATTGAAGTGTAATCACTTCAATAACAGTTATTAGTATTTTTTTATTTATCCAATCAATATTTTGATTATCCAATTAATATTTGATTGGGTAATCTTATGTAAAAGTGATTATCTAATCAACATTTGATTGGATAATCACTTTAATGTGAAAGTGATTATCCAATCAAGGGCAATTGCTTATCAAAAATGTTATTTAAAAATGCATCAAAAAATAATACTGAAAAATTGTAGATTGGCTTAACCAAGGGTTAATGGAAAAACATTAAAATTACTCAAAAGACACTATGCTGTCAAAACTTGGTTGAGATCTAAAAATAAATATATTTATTTTAAGCTAAATTGATTTTTTCTAAAAACTGCTTCTACCTTAAAAATGTTTCTAAAAAATGTATGCAATGGTTGCAAGAAAAAAATTTGAAATAAACCCATTTAGATAAAAAAAAGTTTATTGAATAAGAAATAAATTTTTGAAATTTAGACTTTCTTCCTGATGATCCTGTTGAAGGAGAAACTGGCAGTAGAAGAAAAAAATTAGATTTTACTAATTTGTATAAAATATACACAATCAACAGTTTGAAACCACCTAGTGTTCTTAAGAAAATAGATATTAGTCAATGATATTTATTTTTACCTAAATTTCCTAAAGTTATTTTTTGTGCTGATTTTCAATATTCTGAGGCACTTTATTTCTGACTTTTTGTTTAAGTATTGTCCACAGTTTTTCAATCAGATTGAGATCAGGCTGTTTCCTGGCAAGTAATGATCTTGTACTCATCAGCATTGATCTTGTAGCAGCATTTTTGAATAGTAATTCTTCCTAATTAAGTATTGAATAGCAATTCTTCCTAATTAAGTATTGAAAAGTATTCTTCCTTGATTCTAAATGATGAAAGCTTGGGATTTTTTTCAATAACATACTTTCCATGTCTCACCAATCTGTCCAGGCTTGGTCGGGAAGCGGGTGCGATCGCACTCAATAACTGATCACAGAAATAATATTTAGTTGCGAAAAACCGGCCAGATATTTTAGTTGTTTTGAGATTTAAATTTATGTATGTTTCCTTAATTAAGTTCATTATTTTATTGTAAATTTTGAAATATTTTGTTTACGGACATACATGGAAACATATAAACTTGAATGTTCTCAAACATCTTTGTGCGGAAAAATAAAAAAAACACAAAAAATCCGCCAAATCTACGAACAACTAATTCTATTGGTTCAAAAAACACTAACCGAAATTTCTGGAGTATTCTGTTGAAATATTTTTAAAAATTGTATTAGAGTTTTGTTATGTTTTCTTTGAGATATTCTAGCATAAATTGTTTTAAGAATATCAAACGAAGTATTATTTTAATTCTCGGAGCCACATCTACAAAGTTATAAATGTTTTAAACTAACATTATTTGTTTACAAAAATAAATGCTTTAAATTTATCTTTTTTAACTTGTCAATGTTTTGTGAATATATTATAGATTTTATTAGTATATTCTTATTTTTTATATGAGGGATGTAATTTTTATGTATGTAATGTATTATTCATGTATATAATGCATTTTTATGTATGTATTTTTTATAAATGTTATTTTATGTATGTGCATTTTATTCAAAAGTTATCTTTTAAAGCAATTTGTGCGATTGATTTTGTAAACAAAAATACTTTCATTATTAACTGCGTGTTCAATGAAATTATTAATAATCAGCAAAGTTTAAAACTTTAAAACTTTTCTTTCCCCTAAGAAAGAAAAGTTTTAAAGTTCTTAGAAATTGGTTTACTAACTTCAATTATTTTTGCTTCAGCCATTCTTACAAACTTGTTATACTTAAACTCAAAGTTACTTTTTTCTGTTTTAAATACTAATTAAAATTATAAAGCCCACTCACTAAATATCATCAGCGTTATTGTGAAGCAATTCCGCTTCCTCCTCACATAGTAATTTAACGTTTTTGGTTAATTTCTATTTAGCTAAATGAATTTCTACAGTAACTCAATGATTTAATTATTTCATTTGTTCATCTTACTAAGAAAAATTGTTCAAATGTGTTAAACTTTCCAAACTACGCAAAGCATAAAACAGTTATTGAAAAAACTTTTTTATTTATAAATAAATCATCTAGCGTTAGTTTTATTGGTTAAATCTTGTTGGACTTTTCAGGGCCGGGGACTGCATTATTTTGGCGACCTTTTTTATGTGCCACAGCATAAAAATGACTGAAAAAAATACCAAATGGTCCTCTTGACTATTTCGCAGCGCCCAACATTGTGAGTCCTGAGGCTATAGCCCTTCTACTCCCCCCCCCCCACCTCCTCAATCCAGCACTGGAAGTAAGACATAAGTATATAAATAAAAATTATATATACTCTTTGATAAATCAGAGAACATTTGTTTACTTATTAAACAATCATTGATAGTAAGTTATTACTTTATATAAAAAAATGTCACTTAATTTTATAAAAAAAATTATAAAAGAGCGACGTTTCAAAAATATTTGCTCTAATCGTATTTATTTTGCTTAAAATTTTTTTGCGTTAAAAGCTATTTTTATTTTTTTAACTGTCTCTCATCGGTCCAGTTAATCTTATTGCGCTTTTTTGTTTGTTTTTTAAATGTTCTCAAAACGACTAAAAATCTGGCCAGTTTTTTGCAACTAAATATTATTTCCGTGGTCAATTATCGGGTGCAATGGCACCCGCTTCCCGACCAAGCCTGTCTGTCAGTTGTTTTTTTTGCGGTCTGCAGCTTTGTCTTTTTGAGAAAAACACCCTGAAGCTCTACCTAAGTGTGTTAATTATACACAATTGGGATATTTATGACTTTTACAAGCTTTGAAATTATTTATTTTGTTGATCTAGTACTATAAATTGACCTTTTACAACAGTTCTTCCATACATACAGGGTGTTAGCAAGCCCAATGACACCATGTATACTGTGGTGTCATTGGGCTTGCTAACACCCTGTTAGCAAGCCCAATGACAAAAAACTCAATGACCCTTTTTTTTTTTTTTTTGAAGTAAAACAGGATAAAATATATATTACTGGCAAACACCCAAATATATATATATATATATATATATATATATATATATATATATATATATATATATATATATATATATGTATATATATATATATATATATATATATATATATATATATATATATATATATATATATATATATCTGGGTGTTTGCCCAGATATATATCAACTCGTTTCTCCGCGCAACAGCTTTGTTCGCAAAGGTTCGTGTTTCGGAGTTACAGAGTTGAGATAGGGTTATAACCACAAATAAGTGGTTATAAAACTCCTTGTCTGTAGGAGGAGGTGAATTAACAAAAAATATACATATATATAAAATAATTATTAACGTCATGTTTCAAACTTAATCACTTGTAATCGCTTATAATTTATACTTAATTTAACGCTGCTGCTGTAACCCATTTGTGCGCCTGTGACACAGTTTTTACCATACTTGGCCTTTTAATATTTCTCTTTATATTTTTAACCACGCAATAAGGTATTCTTAAGTCGAAAACTTTGCTTCATCAGCTTAATTAGTAATAAGATCTAAAACTTTTTAATTTGATGACTTCTGTAGTAAAGGATAAATCTTATGTTATTTTTGAATGAGTATAGTAACTTTTAAAGTCAGGTAATTTGATTAATTCATGCATTTTAATACTAATACAATTCAAGCTCTTTGTCAATTGTATTTAAAGTATATTAATCTGTTATTTTTTATTCTTAAAAATTAGAAGACAATGATGACTCTAAAAAATGATGCTCTTTTCCAAACTCTTGATAAATGTAGTGTTTATCTCCAAGACCCTTACATCTCACACGGTCAACTTTGTTGAATGTTAAAGAACAAGATCATTTAATACCTTTAATTAAAGAAAATCTGTTTGCTTTTATAATATAAAAAACCAGGTCATTTAATTGTTAGTTTTTTTTAAGTTAATGCGGTAACGCCAGTGCTTAAAGCTTATCATTAGCTAATAGTTTAAAAAGAAATTAGTTGTCACAATCAAGGTAAGAATAATTTTATTTTCTGATCAAATTGAAAAATTTTTTTGCACGATAGCTATTGTGTTTTTGTTATTTTGTATAATAGCTAATAGTCTTTGCAATAAATCTCTTTTCTTATGGATTTTGACTATTTTCAACATTGCTCTAGAAAAAGCATCAGCAACAAGTAAATTGGTTTGTAGTTTTTTTTCATTTCAGACATATCTTACAATGCTATTTCAGCTTATTGCAGATCAAATAGAGGGCCCACATAATCTCATAAGGCACATAAGGTGTGGGCTAAATTTATGGGGAAAAGCTCTGCCAACACTTTTTTTTATTATACAGTGTTGATCCTGTAGAAAATAAAGTATGAGGAGAGAGAGAGTGGCGGGAAAAAAATATGCTGCTAAAAATTACAAATATAAAAAATATCTATAATTAGTATTTTTGTATTTGGTTAATCTACCAATTGGTAATTGATAATGGAAATTAAGTTAAATTTTTTTCATAAATTTATATATATATATTTTAGCAACCACTAATTAGTGTCAGAAGTTACTGGAAGAGAAAAGATAAAGATTGTAGAGCAAAATAATGATTGACAGAGAACTTAAAAGATTGCAAATTATATGAATCAGGAATGCAAGATGAAGGAAGCGAATTCTAAAGCACTGATGTTCGAGGAAAAAAACTAGAGGAATAAGAGTTTTTGGGGCACTTAAGAACAGTAACATAAAGAATGAGACTTAATTGAATGACAAGTAACACGCGAATGAACTTTAGTAGATGGCACAAGAGACGCTAGCTCTTTAGAGCAGTGAACATTATAGTATTTGTAAAAAAGAGAAAGAGAAGCAATATTACAAAGTTGTGATAATGGTTGAAGTTTGCCTGCAAGAGCAGGTCCAACTATGTTTACAATGCATTTTTGCACCTTGTCTAAAAGAGAAAGGGCATCATTAGAAGATCCACCCCAGATATGGCAATAGTATTCCATACAAGGCCGGAGATTTATAGAGATAGAGAATAGAATCCAGAGTAAGAAAGTGTCAAGCTCAATAAAGAGATGCAACTTTAGCAGATTCTAATTTTGTAACAGATTTGATATATGGTTTCCAAGAATATTTAGAAGTAAGAGTTAATCCTAGAAGGTGAAGAGTAGAGGACTCATCAAGTACATTACCGTTCATAAATATAGGAAGGTCTAAATTATTGCAACAACAATTGGCTGAAAAAAATTGAGTCTTATCTGAATTAAAGTTCACCAGCCACTGTGAGCCCCATGCTGTAACAGAAGTGAAATCCTTTTCAAACTCAAATGCCCCCTCCAAACAATCAGAGAGTTGGCTTCTTAACATGACAAGAATAAATTGTAGTATTATCAGCGAACAATGCCACCTTAGATGTGAGAAGATCTAAAAGATTGTTAATGTAAATTAAAAAGAGTGTAGGGCCAAGGATTGAACCTTGAGGAACCCCTGAGGTTACAGAATAAGAAGAAGAGTGCTGCCCATCAAGGACAACTTTTATACTCTAAAACTCAGAACCATAAAACTGAGTTTTAGAGCTGTACACTCATTAGGAGATAATAGAATGAGTTGCCTAGTCATAAAAACATAAAAACATATATACGTTTCTTTATATATTTTGTTTTGTTATTATGTATAAATAAATTGATTTCCAGTTAATACATGTGGTGTATTTTTTCTTTTTTTAATTCAATAACTTTTTTTAGATTAATCAGATAACGTGTTTGTTTAATATAAACATACAGTTAAACTCTATTAAAAACTGTTATATTTTGTTAATGAGCATTTAATGGGAAGTTCACGCCTCCTTCCTAATCGATGTCGTAAAACTTGCCCAGGGGTGGTGAGTGTAAACCAAGGATCCTTTGTTTCTGAGGCAAGTGCTACTACCACTGCGCCGCGGCTGCTCATTAAACAGTATTCTATAGAATACAAAGTAAAGCAATTTTAAAGGTGGCCTTTATACCAAAGGTATTTAATTAACACATTTCAAGCAAGTATTCTAAATATTATTTAGACTGGTACTGATATCCAATTTGTTAATAAATAGCAATTTGCGCAACGTCTACCGAAACGTTAAAGTTTTTTAAAGTTAATTATAATAGGAAATTTATTTTCATCGCTTTGAAAAGTAAACAATAAGTATAGTTTTTATATATGTATTTGATTATTTTTCTACCTCTAACTAAAATATATTGAAGTAAAGAGTAAGTATAGAAAAGGTCGGTGTTGAAAAGATTTACTAAGATCCGCATTTTACGGGTCTCGAAGGCTAGTTATTTTATTATTCTTCTAATATACATTTGCTCTACTTTTGTATTGAGCACTGTCTACCTAAAAAATATGTATATTCATATATATATATATATATATATATATATATATATATATATATATATATATATATATATATATATATATATATATAATATATATAATATATATATATATATATATATATATATATATATATATATATGTAATATATATATATATATATATATATATATATATATATATATATATATATATATATATATATATATATATTGTACGCATATATATGCATATAATATCTATTATATATTATATGCATATATTATATATATATATAAATATATATATATATATATATATATATATATATATATATATATATATATATATATATATATATATATATATATATATATATATATATATATATATATATATATATATATATATATTATACGCATATATAAATTATCAGTGGTGAGTTAGGTATATTAGGAGTATATAGACATCAGAATTTTTCTGTCAGCCATTTTTGTGCTTTTTAACTTTTTTTTTACTTCTTAGTAACTCATAACTTAAATGGTTGTCAGCAGTCTTGTTAAAAGTTTGTTTTGAATAAATATTTTAAAACTTTTTAAAATATTATATAATGACACATTATGACTAGTAAAAAAAGTTTTATAAATGTAACATACCATTAAAACCAATTCTTTGTACAAATCTAGAACCTGCAGTTTCACTAAACATGTACACTTGTGATATTTCGTGCCATTCTACACGATTGGAATCAAGTTTGATTTTGTGTATAACTAAAACATAAAAATAAATTTAGAAAATTAAAACTTTTTACTTTAACTAATAAAATCTTTATTATTTATTTAATAAAGGTTGTGTATAGATTCTTCCAGAGGTTCATATCCACGTAAGGACTTTTCACCCATCTAAAGATACTGTTAACTTTGGAAGCACATTTTATGCATGAGTGTGCCAATTAGGTTACAATTAGATTAGAAAAATAATCACATCGATGTCACTTCTCGAAGCCTGTTGATATTAATGCAGAACTATTTCCAGTTTTTTGGAAGGAAAAAAAACCAAATTAAGGTCTTAAGCTAGCTAAAATCCATAACTTTTATTAATATTTATCAACATTCAGCTTTCTAAATTTCTAAGTAACAATTGCATTTATTTCTCTTTATAATTTTTTGAATTCTTCTGTATTTGATATCTTAATAATTTGCTGTCATCAGCATAAAGCAAGAATAGTAATTTATGACCTTTGAAAGATGTTATGCTAATGACAATTAAAGATGAAACTAATGAAAGATAATTACAAAATGCAGTAGTCTGAGCATGCTTTCCTAAAGTATGCCATTAATATAATTGGTATAATTCAAAAAACTTTCTTTAACAAACACATTGTTACCAGTTTATACGATCCATTTTATAAATTTGCTATTTATTCTATAGTTTTATGCTCTTATTTTTGAATCTTATATAAGTTTTATTTAAGAAACTTTGGCAAAATCTAGAAAAGCTTCACCAGCCCACTGTTAAATAGGTTATTACGATTTAATCTATTGTTTCCAATAAATTAGTAAACCAACCTTTATAGCAAACAATGTTGCTATTTAGCTACAAGTTTATGATTCATAATTGTGTTTTTGACAATTTGCTCCAAACATTTACTTGGCAATGACATTGGCGATAGTTTGATCACTTGTTGCTCTTGTGATACTGGCTGGTCTTCATGCCCGGGATAACTTCCTTTGGTATAGAGCTTGAGAATATTATGGAACGTGGCTCAGAAAACTCTAAATGAAATGTTCCGGAGTTGAATATTAAGCTATTAATATTAATCATATTGCTTATTGACACTGATTCTGTTTACTTCAGTTTCACAGTTTTCTTCAGTTTCACAGCTTACTTCAGTTTTACAGTTTTCTTCAGTTTCACAGTTTTCTTCAGTTTCACTTTCACTATCACTTTTATTTAAATTCTTAAATACAATAATAAAAAATTTATTTATTTAAAATATAATTTATAATTTATATTTGATCTGATATTTGATATCTGCTTTGATCTGTCATTGATGAACTCATTTTTAAACAACTTATATAAAATACCTAGATTTTTTTGTTTGTTTATCAAAAACCTTTTTATTTTATTTTTTGTTTATTTGATCTGACCTTATTTTATATTTAATTGACCTGAATCATCCAAGTTGTTTGTATCTTCTGGTTTTTAAGGTTCAAACTCAGTTATAAAAGTGTTGTAGCAGTCATTTATAAAAGTGTTATAGTGCTGTTCAAGATTTTGTGAATATTAGTTACAAATGGGGTTTCAGCAAACTGATAAATTATTTAATTGGCTTTAGTTTTAATGTTTCCCATAACATTTAATATCATTCTGTTAAACATAACAAAGATAAATAAATTATATAATATATTTGTTTTTATTTTATAAAAAATAAACCAATTTTTATTTTTTATATATTTATATATTATTTTATTATAATGTATTATTTATGTTCATATATTTTATAATAAACAATAAAAAAAAAAGCAGGATTCGAATTAGTAATTTACAAATAAAATTTTAAAATTATAAAAGACAAGAATAACTAAAATAAAAATATAAAATCAAAGAAATTTTTTTGTTTTTTGTTTTTTACAAAAAACTAAAAGTAGAAAAATTTTCAACAAAATATTTTTCTACTCTGACACAAAATTAACTAAAAAGATAAGAAACTACATATAGTTACTATAGATAGTAAATAACTGGAGCCCCCCTGGCCTTGATACCAGCTTCAACTAAATTTTTTTTTTAAATCCAATTCACTTGCAACAAGGATGCATGCAACCACTATTAAGTTGGGAGTTATTAAAAAACAAACAATTGAGTTAAATAGCAATGAAACTATTGACAGGAGGTATGAAAAGTTAAATGATGTATGAGCCAAGAAAACGTGAAGATGGAATAGAGTTACAAAGCGTTGAAGTACGGGGAAAAATAGATAAATAAAATTTTTTATAACATGAAGGGACAGATACAGTGGAAGGATTCAACTCTGCTGAAAGACGAGTCAAGTGAGAACGAGTTTTGATTGATGGACCAATGATGATAGCTCCATTGAGCAGCAAACACAATAGTATTTGTAGAAAAGAGGAAGAGATACAACCTTGCAATGATGGGAGAAAGGCTCAAGCTTGGCAGATAAAGTAGGTCTAACTACGTTTACAATGCATTTTTTGACCTTGTCTGGAAGAGAAAGAGCAGTCATTGAAAAAACCAGCCTAAATAAGACAACAGTATTCCATACAAGTATGAATAAAATATTTGTAGTAATTTGCATTATTAGAAGAAGCAGTTTAAATATGACAGCAGTATTCCTTAATGAGACAAATAAGAAATTTGTAGAGGTAGAGAATGGAATCTGGAGTAAAAAATGTGAGACCAATTACAAACCTGGCCCCGGCAAAAGGGTTAACTATAAAAAAACTTTTGGAATAATATCAACAGAAAACTTTACTATACTTTTAGCCATAATTTGACTTGCTTTTGACAAAGCATCATTTTGTTCCAATCAAGAAAATTGGTTTCCAATATTGGAACACTTTGTTTCCCAAACTAGAATAGCTTGCTTTTTTAAAAAAATACCCAAGTAAAATCAACAAAAATCATTTTAAAATTATTTTTATCCTTATAATGATAATTAAAACAATTCAATAGAATTAAAATTGCGAGGACAAAATTTTTACAAACAATAAATTGATCAAAAACCTATTATGATGTTCTGCCAATTTATATATATTTATATATTAATATTTTATAAATTCTTTTACTTTATTAATTAAAAATCACATTAATAAAGTATTGTTTTTGTGGTTTATGATTGTAACTTATTTTTAAATTGTGCTAGAACGATTGCTTCAACCCTTTGAATTTATCACGGATTAAGTAAAGAAAACTTAATAGTTCAAATCAAGGAAACTTGGACTTTTATTTTGTTTCACTGCAGTACCATGCTTGTAGCACTTTATAAGATAAGTTTATGTTATTACTTGCATTTTAAATCCCATCACACTAAACACTTGATTGCACCAGTAAACATAGTTTACCTGGTGCAATCAATAGTGTGAACACCGAATTAGATCACCTAAAAAAACTGTAGAAAAATGCTTTAAGTTAATGGTGCACGTGAAATTTATGAGGAATAAATTTCCTAGTTTCTCAAAAGGAAGAAAATATATATTATATATTACTATAAATATTTTACTAGAAAAATGCAAAATAAATTTTCTAATTAAAGCACTGTTTCAATTTCTCTCATCTATTTATATGATAAAGTATTTGCTCATAAAGAAGATGAAGATCAGATGGATGTGTGGTGTGACTTTAACAAGAAGAAAAAAGAAGCCATGATCTTAGGCAGAGATTAGGATAGAGTGTTTTAAATAAGGTTTGTTAAAGAAGATTAAGGTGTTGGATATGATAAGCAATAAAAATGTAGATAGTTTGGTTAACAACATTTAAAAAGTTAGTAGCTTCTAGAGAAAAAGGTAGAGATAGAATAAAAACATACATAAGTATACATATGGTGCAAGCTTCAGTTAAGAAAATAAGATGCTTGAAATTGTTTATATTAGAGAAACAGTATAAATTGGGGAGGCTAAAGTGATCATGATGATGATGATGATGATGATGATGATGATGATGATGATGATGATGATGATGATGACCATGTTTATCTACGGTAACGCCACAAAAATCGTTCGTAAAGGCAACCTTTTTTCGGTTTTGTAACGAAAAAGTTCTGAAATGCAACTTACCAATTCGGTAAGTCAACACGCAATTTTTTTAAAATGTTTACATTCGGTATTGTCACCTCCGTGAAAAATAAACTTTAATCCTTCATTGCAGCTAGCGGAATTATGTTATGTTAAGGTGCTTTAAGCTTAATCTTACAAGATGAACCTTATATTTTTTTAAATATTTTATTATACATAGTTTACCAGTATTTAATGTGATTATAGTTGTCATATGATGTCAAGTAGATATATTTTCTAATAAATTAATTAGTACAATTTGTGTTACAGTCAATTTTATATTTATATGTTGCATGAACTTTACAATTATATGTTGCATGAACTTCATTGCAACATAGCTTAATTTAGATAAACCTAATGAAACAAATAGGAATTTACTTTTTTTTTTATTTCCGTTAAACTATTTTATTTTTATGTACAGTGAAACCTAATATTTTTTTTCTCAATCCAAAAAAAAATAGTGTTTTCAGGTTTTCAGATGTTATAAGCAGAATTTGTTTTTAACAAATATAATTATAATTTTGAAATTTATGTATCTTATATATATAGCTCAAGTACTAGTTTTGTTTTTAAAATAAAATAAAGATAAGTTGGGTTTTTAAAGAGTTTATTTACTGATCACGTTATTTTTAATAGGTTTGTATTTTAGTTTGTTCAAGGACGTATTGTTAATACGTCCTTAGTTTGTTTTGTAAAAAAAAAATTCTTTGGCAAACGGCAAAAAGAAAACCCAAACATAACATTTATAACTCGAGTTTAAAAGTATTGACGTCATTTATTAACTTGTAGTTATAAAATGAATAATGCGCTTCTGTAAATAATGAATGAAACTGTAAAATAATGGAAAAATAAAAACTGGAAAATAATGCGCTTTTGTAAGCGCTTCTTTCAGACCAGTATTTGGAACTTACCTGAAACTTAACTGAAATTAAAATAAAGTTATATGTAATACGAACATTTTAAAGTAACTTGAATTAAATTTATCAAATCTTTTTTTACTTTGGTAATTTTATAAAAAAAACGGAGCATTTTAAAATTAAAAAATTTTAAAATGCTCTGTTTTAAAATTAAATAAAAGAATTTTAATTACATTTAATAAATTTATTTACTAAAAACTATAATTATTAAAAAAATATTTAAATTTCAAAATAAATTGAAAATATTTCTTTTTTAAATTTGATTGTTTATAAACTCATGAAATCTAATATTTAAAATTAAATATGATGAAAAGTTTAAACTTAAAACACTTTATATTCTTTAAGTAATTTTTAAAAACAAAAAAAAAATTATTAAACAAATTGTTTCTTTAACAAAAAATCTATTAGTTTACAATTGCGGTTAAATGCTTTTACTTACGACTTTAATACTTGTGAATGAACGTCACATAAACGATATAAAAAGATAATTTAAAATATTCTTAAAGATAAAAGTTTTTGCGTAACGCATAACTGCTGAACGCGTAGGCAAATCGCCTTTTTGCAGGCAAAATGCGAGCTGCGTAACGCTTCTTAACAAGGCCTGATATATATATATATATATATATATATATATATATGTGTGTGTGTGTGTATGTATATATATATATATATATATATATTATATATATATATATATATATATATATATATATATATATATATATATGTATGTATATATATATATATATGCATATATATATATTATAAAGTATTTCTACTTGACATAAATATATTTTACATATATATATATATATATGTGTGTATATATATATATATATATATATATATATATATATATATATTTAATATTAATATTATTTTTATATATATATATTTTTTTTAAATAAATTTGAAATATTCAAATTTATTTTTACATTAGAAATGGTTTTGTGCGCCCTATGTAGCTGTGATGCATCTATTTCTGGTACTTCGTGTGTACTGTGCGAAAAAGTGATTGATAGTAAATGTCATGGAGGCACTATAGGAGATGAAAATATTATCTGTAAAGCATGCGCAAGTATTAAAGCTATAAATATAGCTTTCATAATTGTATTATTATGAATAAAGTATAAAAACTATGATATTGTGTACTATTAATTACAAAAAAAGAATTTTTTTTATAATTGTAAATAAAACTATTTTCTTTTAAAGATGTTCCTATCAATCCTTATGAAATTGATGATATGGTTGTGTCAGGTAAATATAACAGACTGTTACATTTACCTGACACTAACTAAATTTAATTTTTGTAAGTCTAATTTTAATAGTTAAAAATGAAATTTTATTTCAACTGTCAGTTACTTTAGTCTTTAGAAAGTTTAGTTCTGAAAGTTTAAAAGAAATTGCTTCATCGCAACTATTAAAATCAATTTTTTCTGGTCAAGTTAGTATTATTAATATCTTTATATAAATATTATTAATAAAAGCAGGTGGGGAGGGGTTAGACAATAAAGCTTATAAAATTACCACCTTATTCACATATAACTCATCTTTATGATATTTAGTTAGATTAATAATTAAAATTAGTAAAAAAAAAAATCATTTGTATGTAAAAAAATAAACATATTTTGTATAAGGAATGGTGCAATCTTCAAATAAAAATTTGTATCATTTGTATTTAAACATTTTTTTCAGTTATACAGCTACAGACATAATATTTATAAAGCTGGAGGTAGCGAAAAAAGTTTTTAGAAAATTTTTTATTTAAAAAAATAAGTTTTTTAAATTTTTTAGCCAGTTAAAAAGAAAGTATCAATCTAAATTTTATTTTTTTAAATATTTTTTTAAAATATTGCTGACATTTACTTTATTATTTATTTTTATTTTTTGTAGTTTTATTATTAACTATTATTTTAATTTTTTCTAAATTTTTTTTTGTAATTTTGTTTCTGTCAGGCTTTCAAAAATTAGTTAGAGGAATCTTTGTTGAATATTAATATATTAGAAGTATTATATTTTTATTAATATAGAATTTAAATCTAAGTTTTGAAAGTTTTAACCCTAAATTTTTAGAAACTTGCATTGTTCTGTCTGAGAGTGAGGTACTTAATGATTAATTACTAGTAGTTTTTATTGCATCTTAAATTTTTAAAATATCATTAAACAACTATAATGAATTTAGTTGTTTTATTTATTGTATTTGTTATATACGTGTAAATATAAATAAATATACATGAATTATTTAACATTGATTTTCAGGTATCTTTAAGTGATATTGATTTTAAATTAGTTGAAAATAATTCTGAATCTAAATTTGAATGCATAGATACTACTGATATGGTATGTAACAATTGTATTTTTGATGTCCATATTTATAATAATAATATTATATATATATATATATATATATATATATATATATATATATATATATATATATATATACATATATATATATATATATATATATATATATATATATATATATATATATATATATATATATATATGGTATGTAACAATTGTATTTTTGATGATATGGTATGTAACAATTGTATTTTTGATGTCCATATTTATAATAATAATATTATATATATATATATATACATATATATATATATATATATTTTAAAAAATGTTGTATTTTTAACATTGCTAAAATTTTAGTTTTTTTTTTAGGTTTCTTCATATCAGGAGAATGATTTTTGTGGTAAACAACCTTTTGAGGCTTGCGAAAATATTAAAATGGTTATTATAAAATTCTTACTATTAATGTTTTAAAGTTAATATTAATGATTTAAAGTAAATAAAAATTAATGAATGGCTAATTACATTTGAAAAAATATTTTAGGCTCATGATCAATGTTGAATTATTGATAAGAAAGAGAAAAAATCAAAAATTAAAACAGTCGATGAAGTACTTCAAAAGGTAACTTGAGTATTAGAAAAAAAAGTACAACAAAGTTTTTAATAAAGATAGTTTTATATTAAAGTTTTTAGTTTTTTATTAAAGTTAGGGTTGTAGTTTTAAATATTAAAATTATGTTTTTCATTCATTTTTTCAAAGAAAAAAAAAAAAACAGTAAAAAAGACCTTTCTTTCAAAGAATGCAATGAAAATAATTTTGAGAGTATGATAACTGTATTTATGAAATCTGGAAAGGTTTTGGAAGCAGAGAAGGCATGTATTTACTCAAATATTTATATATATATATATATATATATATATATATAAATATATATATATATATATATATATATATATATAAAATTATATAAAAGATTTTACAATGTATATACATATAAATGAAAATATTTGAGTAAATGCATGCCTTCTCTGCTTCCAAAACCTTACACACATATATACACACACACACAAATAATTTTAAGTTCTACGTGAAAAAATTTGTTTTAACTTCCTTCAATATTTTACAATATACCTCTTAAAAGATTTACATCCAGTCTGTTACTAATAAAATTGAAAAACAAAATGTGGTGTTGTGTTGGGGCATCTGTTTTGTTTTTCTGCTGTCAGCCATGTTTGTCAAGGCTTGTGTTTCATTATCTTAAAAATGAACCTGAAAAGTATAGAGAAATGCTTCAAAAAAAAACTATTTTTGAAAAAGTAAATCATATTACAGTTCCTTTAAAGCATCAGCAAAATTACAATTTTCAGCAGTCATTGGATTCAAATGTTTCACTTGATCAATTCAATATTCAAAACCTGGAATCACCATCTATTAGTAATCGTACCAAATCTATTGATGATGAACCCACTTTTAAAGATTATCTTGAAATCTTTTGCCTTTATTTAAAAAGTCGATCCGGAGGTAATAAAGATTTAAAATCTGCATCCAATGAGATGGGTCAAGTCAGGAGAATAATGGAGGTTTTGTCTTCAGATGATCCATGCTATGATAAATTTTTTGACCTCGAGCGATTACAAACACTTTGGTTTCCTCATGCGCAAAGAATGATGTATGAACCTGGAACAAAAAGGTCATACTTGTTATCCTTAAGCCACTTCATAGATTTCTTAATTCGTTCAAAGTTAACTCTAAATGTTCCTTATGTTGTACCAGTCACTAAAGTAGAGGCTGATGTTATGCTTGTTTGTCAGAGCGAAATTTCTAAATGGGGACAATCTTTGAGAGCTGAGGAGGAGGAGAGGCAGTTTGATGTTTTAATTCAAGACGGTGAAAAAATGATCCCAAAGGAATACTTTAAGGCTATTCTTGATAGCAACTTCAATGTCACAGTTATAAAAAAAATTAAAGAGATACACTGTCAATACTCTTTAAAACCAAACGAATTTATTTTAACACACAGTTTATACGCAAATACCAGAGACTGCATTTTCTTTAAAATGGTATGTGATAATATCTCTCAGTCGGGAGCTATCGCAAATCTAACATTAGAAGAGTATTTAAAAGGAACTTTTACTCCAACAGGTTTGTATGTTGTGTTGGTGAGAAAACACAAGACCTTAAAAAAAAATGGACCCTGCCAAATTGTTATTAATTCAGAACTTAAATTTTTGTGTGACTGCTTTTATAAAATTATAAGAAATGGTGTTCCAGGACATAAATCAGAAAATATGTTTGTTACATGGTCAGGATGTAGTTTGGAATCAGGTGGTGTATCAACCCAGTTAAGTTCATATTTTTCAAAATGTTTACCAGACAGTGTTAGCCTTGGAAATGTTAGTGCTACTTTAATAAGAAACAGCTTATTAACCTTTTTTTATGATAATTACCCTGATATGAAAAAAGACCTTGCTACTTTAATGAAGCACAAACAAAGTACTGGAGAGAAATGGTATTATTTAAACCAAACTAAAAAAGAAAATTTTCTGGCACTTCTGAAAAGACTTCAAATGTAACTTTTAGCTCCCAACCAGACATTTACACCATTGAAAATGCAATGCCCAACAATTCTTTAATTGGAAGTCCCATTCAAATGTTACAGATAACGATCTATTTAGTGAGAATGAGGAAGATGATAATGAAAGCGATTGGGATGGTGTTACAGGTTCGTTGATGACAAGTAAAAATATATCTTGGACTACGCTTGAAGTGGATGAATTAAAAAAAAAATTTCAAAATCGATTCTACAAGTTCATTTAGCCAATCTAACATACGAATGATGATTTCAGGAAATGATATTTAAAAAAACCGCAATGCCAAACAAGTTTACGACAAATTAAGCCATCTTCAAAAAATTGCATTAAAAGGAGATTTACAAGAACTTAATAAAAAAGAGTGCATGACAAAAAAAGTTGTTTTTCCAACAAAGTTTACTAACTTAATCAGGGTTATTTTTTCAAACGAAATAGCTGGTAAACTTTTAACAACTGAAAAAGATGTTTATAACAAAATTAACCAAACCGAAAAAGCAAAAGAGATGCTTAATGAATTTTCAATAAAACAAATTCTAACAAAAATACGATACGAAAAGGCAAAGTTAAGAATGAAAAAAAAGTAATTCTTTGTATATCTTAACGTTTATAATACTTTAACATTTTAAAGTTTATTACATTCAAAGTTTTGTTAGAATTTTTTACTTTTATTTTTTGTTGCTTGAAATTTTTTTTGTTAAGTTGATGATTGCTAATAAATTTGTTTAAAAGGTCCATGACTCTTATCTTAATTTTATTTATAACTCGAGAAAGATTTTATTATAACTTTAAAAAGTGAGAGATACCATAAAGAAATTACTTCTAAACTGCTCTCTTTACAATTTTATTTAAGTAAGATTAAAGGAAATGCTTCTAATTTTACATTAGTGGATTTTTTCGTTAAAATAGCGCCGTATAAATAATAGCGTATGAGTTATAATGCTTTATTTGAATTAATTGTAAATATAGATTTAAGTATAAAAAAAAATTTACACTGTAACAAGTCTCTCTTACAGGCTGATCAGCTTCTATTTGAAGCTGATTTCTAAAAATCAATCAGCCGCAAAACCTTGTTTAAATATAGGAGAGAGTTACCTTAACTGGAACACTTTAGGAATAAATATCTATTAACCAAAGATGGCCTAACTATAAAAACATTTATGATTTGATTAATACAAACAGACAACCCTACTACACTTTTAACCATAATTTGACTTAATTGATTGTACTAACAAAAAAATTGTGTTAAAGCTTCAACTGCCTTGACGTTCTCTTAATTTATTGATTAAAAATCACTAAATAAAGTATTATTTTTAAGGTATATGATTGTTATTAAGTATTTTTAAATTTTTTTGAACCCTTCAATTTTATTATTAAGTAATGAAAAAGTTATAGTTCCAATCAAGGAAACTGTGGACTATTTTGTAATATCACTGCAATACAATCACAGCATATACAAATGTGTGTGGGAAATGGTTTAATAGAGCGAAGAAAAAACAAAAGTTTAAACAATGATAAAAAAGTATACCAAATGAAAAAAAGGTATAAGAGCTGTTCTAAATCATTGTACTAACTTTTTTAGACAAAATGCAGCGTCATGTACTATGTCCTAGAGGATTAAATAGTTAGTGTAGGTGGAAGAATAGTGAAGAAGGAATTGATAAATACAAGCCTAAAGTAAATATTCCTCTATGGATTTATGATGTTATAAAGAAAGATTTTGATGACTTATCTGATGATTCTCTTCTTAAAAAATGCATTCATGAAGAGATTCAAAATTGTAATGAAGGACTTAATAACATAATATGGTCTCAATGTCCAAAAAATGTTACAAGATTTTTGCTTGAAGTGGTAGTTATTCTGAAATAAAAAAAAGCTTATTTACCTAATGGATTTTAAATTTTTTATGCTTTTGTATTTTATTTATCTTATTTCTCAGACCCAATATTAAGATATCAACGTCATATGTTGATATTGGGTCAGGCAGTTTACTTCAAATTTTCAGGAGTTATTCAAAATACCTAAATGAAGGGAATGAATGTAAAATTTTTTAAAAAGTTCATTGAATTTTGCCTTTTTAGTGTTTTGACCTAGCTCTACCACCTGAAAATATTGCAAAGAGCAAAAATCTTAAATAAAAAGGCTAAATGTTGTTTGTTTCCAGATATTTTAATTCATTACCTTTATTTCATGGGTTGACAGACAATTGCTAAGTTTCAAAACTTAAACATTGTTATAACTTAAAAAATCGTGTTGCAAGTGTAGGTATTAAATGCTTTATTTTCACGTAATTTCGACAATTTTCTGCTTTTTTATGAAAGATCTACATATTTAGCGATATTTACGTTGTAAGAAATATATTTAATTATTTGAAACAAATGGAGATTTTTAAAGTTTTGTTACAGTTCTGAAATTTTTTTTGTTTGTGGTTATTCTGTTATCCAAAAATCTCTGCCAAAGGATAAAAGATTCTACATAAAGTAACATTGTGTAAAAGCAGTGATGTCCCACGGATTTAAGTTGAATTGTTGTGGTAAGCACGGAGGCAAAAAAAAGTACATTGTTTCCACAATACTTGCATATTAAATAATTCCTAATATAATTTGCAATAAAATGAGATTTAATTTTCTACCATATGTGCGTATTAAATGGCATTTTGGTAATGTGGTTATCAACTCTAAGCAATTGCAGAATATTTACTGAGGAATGAATAAACAAACAACAAAAAAAGAAAACTGATTAAAAAGATTTATTGTATTATGCCAAAGTGCTCAAACTACATAGTAGCGGTCCAGCATAACGCAAACAGCAATCATACACCCTATAAAGAGAGGGATCAACAAAACAAAAGGATAAGTAGTTACATTTAACATTAGACAATATTGTTTTGTCCTTAAGAACTTATCAGTAATATTCTGATTTTATGGGACCAAATCACTAAAACAAAAAAATAAACAAAAAAATAAAAAAGGAAACTAAAACAAGGAAACTGATTTAAAGCAGTTAAAAAGATTTTTGCCAAAAAATCATGCCAAAGTGCTCCAACTAAATGGTAGTGGGCCAGAGTAACACAAAAAACATTGACAATGTGCCCAGCGGAAAAGGGGGGCATCTAGGTTAAGGGGGTATATATGATAAATTAATGTATGAAAACAATATAGCCACATCAAAACTAATTTCTAAATAGTGTCTTCTAGAATTAAAATTGCATAACTAGTTTTGGTTTTGAGATTTAACTAATTTAACCTCACAATAAATAGATTTTCAAAAATTTGTTCGGTAATGTAACCTTTTTATGCGGTAACTTCACATTCAAAGCTTTCATCGTCATTAAGTATATGAAAAAACTATTTAACTATAAAAACTAAACCATTTTCTGAGATTTCATATAAAATTAAAAAAATCCCTACAAAAACAATCTCAACAATTAAAAAAAAAAACGATCTCATTATTAGAAGCAAAAAATGCATTTTTTGAAGATTTCAAGTAAATATTTCTTCAATATCTTTGTCAACCAGTTTAATTTAAAAGTTTTTTATGATAATAGAAATACCCAAACTTGAGAATAGGGATTTTAAAAATTTATTGGGTGATGGAACCCTGAATTGGGTATCTAATATCTCCGAAAAAAAAAACTGGCTTCCCGCCACCCCTTTTATGAAAAAATGACTAAATCGGAATTGCAACTGGAAGTTTATGAAAACACCCCTGCAAAACAAAAACATAGTTTAAAAAGTTTGAAATTGTTTAATTCTAAAAGTTTATGGGTAGAATAAATAAAAAAAACTCATTTTAGATAAAAAAAAATATTTATGCACCGTGACTATACGAAAATGAAAGTGAAAAATTATTGTAGCAAAACCGAATTTAGATCCACATGGTGATGATGATGATGATGATGATGATGATGCAATGATCATGATGATGTTTATATATACATATATACATATGCCTTTATATATGTATGTATGTATGCATATATATATATATATATATATATATATATATATATATATATATATATATATATATATATATATATATACATATATATATATATATATATATATATATATATATATATATATATATATATATACAGTAGCGTCCAAAAGTGTGCGGACAGGCAAAAAAATAAGGAATTTTAATTATATTTCAGCACATACTTTACTAAAGCCAACATATTATATACCAATTAAAAGGTTTTCAAATTTAAAATTAGGTTTTGAACAAATAACTATTATCTAAATAATTTTAAATTGGTATACAAATCAACGGTCTTTGATAAGTTCAAAAATTTGCAGACAAAGCATTATTTTTTAAAATAGTTAAAATATTTCAACAATATTTGATCAAAATTTTTGCAAAAGCAAAATCACATTAGTATTTTGTAGGATATCCTTTACAATCAAGAATAGCTTGGCATCTATGAGGCATAGAGTCAACTAAATTAATGCAAACGTCAATGGGAATTAAGTCCCATAATTCTTTGATTTTATTAAATAAATCAGCATAATTTGTAGGCTTAATTCCTTTCATTTGACGGTCAAAATGTTCCCATAGATGTTCAATGGGATTTAAGTCAGGTGATTGGGATGGCCACTTCAAAACATTAACTTTACTCTCTTTAAAAAACTCTAAAACCGATTTAGCTGAATGTTTGGGATTGTTATCCTGTTGGTAAATCCATCCTCGAGGCATTTTATCCTTTGCATATGGTAACATAATAGTCTTACATATATCTTTGTACTTTTCTTGATTCATATTCTTGGTAAGAGGACCAACTCCATTTCGGCTAAAACATCCCCAAACCATTACATTACCTCCTCCATGTTTTACGGTAGGCAGTTGGTATTTAGGATTGTACCTAGTACCTAATGGACGTCGAACATACCTGATTCCATCGGATCCAAACAGCATAAATTTGCTTTCGTCACTAAAAAGAATTTTTGACCATTTTGACTACTCCACTTTAGATGTTTTGATGCAAATTCCATTCGGGCATTACGGTTTTTCAAGGAAACTAATGGTTTTTTAGCTGGGCGTCTTCCAAACAAATTAGCGTGACGTAAACAACGTTTTATAGTAGAAATACTACAATTCATTCCATAGAAACGTCTCTTTTGTATGTTTAAATCGACAGCTGTCAAACGGGGATTTTCTTTGCTTAGTATTACAAGCTTTTTATCCTGATAACGCGTTGTTTTGCGTGGCCTTCCTGATTGATTTTTATTCTTTGTAGATCTAGTAAGCTCAAATCTCTTCATAATTTGTCCAACAGCAGACTTACCAACTCCATAAAGCTGTGCTGTTTTACGAAACGAGTTTCCATTCTGAACTGATTTCAAGATCAATTTTTTTACTGGAGATGAAATACATTTCTTAGATGCCATGATCTCAATCACTTATATATAAAGTTTTGAAATTATTTCCACAAAGTATTTGTTTATAAAATCAACTAATTAGCTATTTTGTGGTGAAAATGTTAAAAGCGTTAGTTTGTCCGCAAACTTTTGAACTTATCAAAAATCGCCATTTTGTTAACCAATTTTAAAATGATAATTAAATATTCATTATTTGCTCAAAACATAATTGTTAACTTGGAAACCTTTTAATTGGTATATAATATATTGGCTTTAGTGAAATGTGCTGAAATTTAAGTAAAATTCCTTATTTTTTTGCCTGTCCGCAAACTTTTGGACGCTACTGTATATATATATATATATATATATATATATATATATATATATATATATATATATATATATATATATATATATATATATATATACATATATATATACATAAAAAACGAATTTGAAATAAAAATAATATATTTTTAAGATGTATCAATGTTTATGTAGCCCTGGTCACAAACCTGGCCCCGGCTCTAGTTAAATATCTATCCCAGTTGCTTACCAACTATAGATACATAATATATAACATGATTGATTGATTATGATACTAAAAAAGGATTATTGCTGATTATACCTAAATATTAAAAAGCTTTGTTTATCAACAATTATAATAAGCAAAATTTAATTCTAACAAGATATTACAAAGCTTCAATCATATGTAATATCTAAAGAAAAGATTAAAGAGAACATAGCAGTTTAACACACACATTACATAACACACATATTACATAACACATACACAATTTTTACATAAAATACTTTTTGATTTTGCTTGAGGTTTTTAAATTTTAGGTATTTTGAGCCGCAAATGTTTGATTAATATTTCTGAAATGAAAAGCTTTATCAAGATGCATGGACAAAGTAAAAAAAAAATTCTTATAAAAAAATATTATTCAGGCACAATGATAAAGAACTATACTTGAATCACTATAACAATATACACATTATGAATATTAAGATTTTAACAAAAGTTCTAGCAAGTTCTATATTTAACAGTGACAATTGTTACCCTGTTAAAGATTGATAACCTTATCCACCAATCTCCACAACAAAATATAAAATTAAAAAAAAAAAATTTTCACAAATTCAAATTACTTATTTAAATCCTGTTTATTAATTACAAAAATTAAATTTATTAACCATTATTAGATGTGTTCATATCGAGTGTGCCCATTCCCTAAAAAAAAAAATTCAAATTAAAAATTGATAAGAATAAATTTTGAAAAAACTATTATAATTAAAAACTTACTAATGATCTTACAACTCCACAATGGGCTTCTTCGATTACAAATGCCTGTTTTTCATCAAGTGGCTCCCAATTACCTTGTTGGGTACCTTTAAACCAAGTCCCTCTCATAACAGGTATATTATTTTCTATAAATAAAGATAACAACATAATTAGTTTAAAAAGTAGTTAAAAAAATATTTTATTTATATTAGCCGATATCAAATAGTCATGATATTATCTAAATCTAAATGACAATTTTTAAAGATTAAAGAGCAAATCTTTGCTTTAGAAATTCAAAGTTCTATAAAGGGTTGGGAATCACAAGTCTAACTCCAGGATTAAGCACTTGGGGTTTAACTTTTAAACTCTTTTAAAAAAATTTTTAAATCGTATTTGGTTGAACATTTTTATCTAAATTTCTTTGGTTGAGATTTGACTATTTTCATATTGTAAAACTGCTGATTTTTTTTGTTTGTTTGTTCAAGTTGCAATCAAACTTGAACTCAAAATATGCAATTACATTCTTAAAATTTGTTGGTGCTTAGTAACATATATTCAAGTTACTGACAATTTTTATCTCGAATGTTATTTATTTGTGACTGTTTTATAATACTTGTTTTAATTATATTAAAATAGCAGTGAAAATAGCAACATAGCAAAATTGTTATTCAAACAGTAAATTTTTTAAAATTATAATAGCTTCTTACATGGAATATGAAAAAAATAATTCTGGTGCTTGGAAACATTTCTTTTGCAAAGAAAAAAGGCAGACAGCAATGTCAAAGAATACCAACTCCAAAAAAAATAATTTTTAATTGTGGCTCTAAATACTTACTTTACGCACTTACACTCATAAACCCACACTAGCTACTATTTCAGCAAACACACTAGATGAACCACCAACAAAAAAAAAAAATAAAAATATTAACCAATTATTTTCCGATACTGGAGTAAGAAGAAATATCATTTCTTACTACATTTGTACAACTAACAACCTTTGATGGGATTTTGTTCAATGATATATGCTTTTCTAGTGATATATGTGCAGGTCTTATAGCTGCAGGACTTGCAACAGTCAACACTGTGCATAAAATGGTTGTAGATTACAGCAAAAAAAAAAGATTTTTTTCATCACTACGTAACCGTAGATAAAGCTATTCAACAAAAACACAAAGAGATAAGTGATTTAATGAAAACAAACAATAAAATATAGAAGACAATTATTCAGAGATTAATTCTTGATTATGATTTTTCTTACAACAATGAATTGATTGATCTCAATGCTAGTCATAATAAACGTTGAGGAAACCAATGTAATGTTACTGAGTTGTGGTCCAGTTATCAAAAAAAAAATTAATAGTAATCTTCAGAGATATTTTGCAAAAGTTTATTCAATTAAGTAATTGAAGTAAGAAGAAAATGCAGCTGAATTTGCAAATAACTCTAATAAAATATTGTAAGATGGAACAGTCTTTTGTCTTTCTTAAATACCTTTTTCTTAAAAAACTGTATTTAAATGGCATTAATAGACAATAGTCATGTAGACTAATGGTAAATCTTTAGCTTTATCTAATAATGAGGTTAAAACTGTATCTTTAGCTTTATCTAATTTAGGTAATACTGTAACATTAATGCGCTAGTCCCAGTAAAAGCAATAGTTAAGGCTCTTTGCTGACAAGAGGTTTTGTTATAAAAACTTTGAATGATTTGTTTATAGCTAATGTTGCTTTTATGTTAAAAAATTTAAAGATGCTAAAATGTTATAGGTCAAAAGTTACATTTATCTCTTTAAATTAGTTCTTTAAATGTAACAAAGGCATGTAACAAAACTTTAAAATGTAACAAAGGCAAATGTAACAAAAACATTCTTTAAAATCTAACAAAGGCATACAGATATAAGTGGGATCTTTCTGGGTCTGCACAATAGTAAAACCAGCATTCAGCCCAAATGTGAAATAGAGCTAGTAACAGCGCTGTCTTAAATGCCTTAAATAAAATGCTCTAAATTAATAGTTGAGTTACTCGAAAGACTAGACGCTTCAAATCAAGCTACATCATTAATTTATGAGTCTGAATTTAAGATTAGAAGTTTCTATTTTAAGTGTGCATGTATATGTTTTAAGTGGTTTCTAAATTCTCTTCAGAGTTTCAGACCACTAACAGGCATCTAAGGTTTAACAAACTGTTGTTGATCTAATTGTCTTGATATGGTATTTTTTGAACCATAGTCTAAATTCTCTTTAGGTATATTAATATGATGACTTTTTTTTATTGTTGTTTTCAAAAAAATTATCTATCAGTAAATCAATTTTTTATGTAATCTAATGTTCTAAAAAGATAACTTTAAAACCATTTTTGGTGCCATGCTTTCCTGAAGCTAAAAGTAATATGCAATCTTCAAACAAGGTAATTTGTCAAACATTATTTTCCAAAGAATAATATTCAATTTACATTAACTTTACCACTATGTAAACTATTTTTTTCATTGTTTTTAAAATTGACCATTCAAGCTCATGTGTCTGTAATAATTTAAAATTAATTAAAATTTAAACAATTTAAAATTAAAATAAACATGAAATAAAAAATAACCATAAAAAAGCCATAGATTTGTATAAACCACTAAAAAGTGTTTCTTATTTTTATGACTCTGCGTCTGAATTTATTTCTTTTGGTCTTGAAATTTCAGTATATCAGGTAGACTTAATAAAGCTATAAAAAAAAGCACATTTGCCCAGCAAAACAAAGGAAATGCTGTTGTTTGAAAATGAAGGAACACAGTAATTTTTCATAAAGAGCCTATAATTTTTTAATGACTATTAAATCTACTAATATTCTATGTATTATTAAAAAACCTTTATAATATTAAAAAACTAAATCTAAAAAAGAATTCCCTAATAATTAGATAAATAGATTTTCTTTAACCTATTTTTAAATAAGTGATATTGTTAAATTTCTTAAAATCATAATAAAAGAATATGTTAACATCTTTCATGAACAGATATTTAAAAATACAGGGATCCCAGAACTAGGTAAATATAATACCAAAATCTTGGGATTAAAAATATAACACAGGATTACAAACCCTATATCTATATCACTTTTTAATTTATAAGACTTTAAAAAAAAAACATTAAAAAAAAAACTCATGACTTGTTTAATCAATTTATACCTATATTTTTATGAGTTTATATTTATTTAGGTTTACGTTTATTTAGTTTGTATTATTTATATTCATTTTGTTTTTAAATTTTTATACTCTTTAAATAGTTTCAAGACAACAGGTTTTTTTTTAAAAAATTCAAAACAAATTTATACTTGCCTTTCCAAAAAATAGAAATGCATTCTCGATTCAAAATATTGACTTCAAACAAAGAGCCTCTGACAACAGGTAATTCTACTGCAATATTAATATTTGTAGAACTAAATGATGGTGACTGCATATCAGGAGGGAGAGATCTATAAAATAAAAAAGTTTTAAAAAAAGAGAAACTAAATAAATAAAAAAAAAGGAAAATTAATAAATTTTATCAAAACATAACAAATAAATAACATAAAGGAAGATAAATAAATCAGATAGATATATAAATCAAAATAAAAAATTAAATGTTACGATACTCAAAATTGCCTGCACAGAATTAAAAAAAAAAATTTTTTTTCAATATTTAAATTTTTATTATAACTTGTAAAGCTTTTCCTTTAAGAAATAGAACATCTATGAATCTACTGCATTCATAGATATAATTCATAAATGTGAGAGCAAAAACAAATATAGATTTAAGAATATAGATAGACAAATATAGATATATAGAGAGAGAAAACAAATATAGATTTAAAAAATTAATTTATTCCAGTAGACATTTTACAAAGCTTAAAACTTTTCTTTTTCTGTTAAAACTGTTTTTATTTTGAGTATGAATTTGTTGTTTGTTTTTTTTCAAATTATAAAGGTGCTCCAAAAAGACTAAAAGGTCTTATCTTAGAGCAACACAGAAGAGTAATTAACCAGGAAGTTAGTCTAGAATTAGTCAGGAATCTAGTCAGTTAAAAGTTAGTCAGGAATCTAGTCAGTTAAAAGTTAGTCAGGAATCTAGTCAGTTAAAAGTTAGTCAGGAATCTAGTCAGGAATCTAGTCAGTTAAAAGTTAGTCAGGAATCTAGTCAGTTAAAAGTTAGTCAGGAATCTAGTCAGAGCTGACATTGAACCTTGAACCTGTTGATTTTGAGCCGGAACTCAAAATACTGGACCACAACTGTTCATATTTTAGGTTATTATTTTAAAATCAATGTAAACATTTGAAAAATATTTTGCAATAAAAACTTGGGAATAGTTGACAAATAACTATTATAATAACAAATTACAACAATAACTTGTCAATTTTTCCTTAGTCAGGAATTATATTTAGAAACTATTTAAAAAAAGATAAACACCAAACAAAAAACAATAAATTCAAATAATAAGAAATAAGTATAAAATTTATATTTAAATATATTATTGTTATTATACATAATAACAATAATATATTTAAATATAAAGTTAAACTATACTTTTTCAATTATAAATTTCAAATTATAAGTTTTATAGTTTAAAAAATTATAAATAATTCAAATTATAAATAAATTTGTTAAATTTATTTTAATACTTTTAGATGTTGCTGGGTCCTTAGCTGTAATAAAAGAGAACTTTATCTTGAAGAACAAAAGCTCTGATATAAAACTTAATTTGGGGAAAAATAAGAAGTGCTAATAAATCTTGAAACCTTTAAAATAGTAGTACCATAATAAAAATACTAAACTCTGATCTGTATAAAAGTTGAGCTGTCATGAATGATATCCTGTTGTAAAACAATTGATTCAAACCATTTATAATGTCATATTTAAATAAGAAAATAGCATTATATAACGTCACAGACAATATTAGGTAACATTGTTGATAAAATCAAAACTCAAACAAAAATGAAGTCGTTTATATCAGGATCTATATCACTGCAATAATTTTTTTTTAATTTGTTTCCAAAGAAAAACAAATATATTTATAATTCTTTTTAACTCATTGCAAAAGAAACTTAAATGAGCTTTTAACTAAAAATTTTTAATCCAAAATAAATAGAAATATAATGTATTGTCAATATCTATTAAAAAATGATTCTTTACTAAAAACATTTTGTTTAAGTTATTAAAAATAATCATTTTAAACTATATTTTTTAAAATTTATTTAAGAATAAGTAAAACTAATATTAATGGTTGATCTAATAATAATAATAAAAATGGTTGAAATAATAATAATGGTTGATCAAAATTATTCATTGGACATCAGATCCCAGCTTATTTGTGATCGAAAAAAGGGCCTAAATATCAAATATCAACAAATGGTGTTAGAAACATGTGAACAAATGATAAAACACTTGGTTCTGTTGAAAATCAGAAAAGACTTGGACCTAAGACTTCAACAAGAACTTATATGCTAATTGCACATTTAGCAAAAAAAAATTTAACAATAACCTCAAGACAGATTGTTGAAAGTCTTAAATAAAACGTTTTCAGTCAAACTGTACAGAGAAGATTTAATTCAAGTGGTTTATTAAACCGTCTTCAGAAATTAGTGGTATACACAAAAAAAACCTTTAGCATTTGCAAAACTGTATATGTATTTTTGTATGCTGATTTGCTTTTCGAAAATTTATTTCAATCTGCTAAATAATTAATTTTAGATAGTAAATTCTTTTTTCAACATGACAATGACCACAAACACACCAGCAAAGTGGCACAACAATTCCTCAAAAAAGTAAAGTTAACATCCTTAAATGTCCGCCACAATGCCTGAACCTTAACCCATTGAAAGTTTATGAGCAATTTTAAAATATAAAATTACCTCGTTTAAAGAGAACAAACAAAAAAGAGTTTTAAGAGGTTCTTAGTGAAACTTGAATTAAATTGGTAATAACATCTTGTCAAAGCTTATAAAAAGCATCCCAAGACATTTATATATATAAGGGAGAATGGTGTACTTCGGAGGTACTTTCAAACTTTTACAAATATATAAAAAAATACTTACATTATGTTCTGTAACAATATTTTTTTTTAACTTGATGATATTAGTAACTCTTAGATTTTTTATTAAACATTCAGACATATTTTTATATCTCTTTTTTTAATTTAAAAAATAGCATACACTACAGCCAAGGTACACCAACAGTGGTATACCTTGGAGGTATTATTGTTTTAACAGATTAAGAATTCAACATGGTAGAATTTGATATATTTAGTTATAGGATAATTGGTTTTCACATCAGCCTCATTTGAGATAATATTTATCTAACTAGTTCAGGCTTTCACAGGAAGATGTGCGATTTCACATCTTTATATGACCATACAAGTTACATTTTGCTATGACGGTTTGACCGCAGCTAATTCAAAAAACATTTTAGAAATGCGCTAAATAAAAAATATTCTAAAAAAGTGAAATTAATTACATCAAAACTTCTTAACAAATGTTTTTATATTAGCGAAATGATTTTAAATAAAGTAACAATTTTACTGAAAAAAAGTTGTTTTTTAAATATAATTGACAGTTGTATATATTTTTTTAATTTAAAACATATAAATTGTTTAAGTGTTCATTTCTAAAATAAATCTTATTAAAAATAAAAAACTGCTTTGTTTTTATAAACGATGACATTCTACGACTACGGAAGTCTCTTTAATGAATTTAAATATAAGAATGATTAAAGTTAATGCATTTAAAAAGATAAACAAAATTTCGTTAAAAAAAAAAGCTTTAGAAAACCGTTACAATTTAATAAGTTTAACCTTTATTATCGAAACGCTTTTAATGAAGTAAACAAAAAACACTTCTAATTAATTTAAAAAAAAGTATTAGCAAAATATTTTTTTATTTTATTTATATAACTATGTATTTTTTATGAGAAATACTTAACTTTTGAACATATCAAATAAATAAAAAACATATAAAAATGTTGAAACAAAAATTGAAAAGGTTTTTTAATGCATAAACTAAATAGACTAAGCATTTTAGTTAAATGAGTTTTGTTTTAGTTGCGTTATAAATATATATATATTTATTTTTTGTGTTTTTTCTTTAGCTAAGTATTTTTTTTATTTTCTCTTTCGCTAACATTTATTATTTTTTTAAATTTTTTCTTCAAAAAAGTTTAGGTAAGTTTTTGTAGCGCGTTTTTAAAATTTAAAAATATGCCGTGGTCAAATCGTTAAAACATTTTTTTTTTGCGTGGTCATATAAAGATGTGAAATCGCATGTCTTCCTGTGAAAGCCTGTAGTTAGATTTAAACAAACAATATATTACTTTATATTTATGTTGAATTTAAAGAAGAAATAAAGTTCATTAAGAAATTAGTAATAACAAATATCTACATTAAAGTTTAAATATTAAGTCTTTCACTTTGATTTAACATTTGTCTACTCTACGTTCAGATAACTAAAATTAATGTTAAATGATAATTTTTCCAGCTGTCATGCTGAACCTCCTGTAATAGAGAAATGTGGCAACTGAAAAATCATGTTTAATTTGTCCAACTCATACACACATCATATTATACAAAAGAAATTTTAATAAACAAATAAAATCATAATAAACTAAAGCAACATACTAAATTAAAAAAATACTTTCATAACAAATATTACTCTAATAGTATTTACAAAATCATGCAAGCGTGTACCTTGGTGATACAACCAAGGTACACAACATTTGCTACCTCTAAGGTACACTGCTATCACAGCTTTTACAAAATTGTTACCATATATTTATATGTTAGGAGTTAAACAGTTTCAAACATACATAAATGCAGCTAAAAAAATGTTTTACAAATTTTTAATAATCAGTTTTAAAATAAAGTGTATATCTACAGTTGTAGAAGAAAAAAATGTCCCAAAAATGTTACTTGTTGGTACCGGAAACAAACTTTTATTTTTATTGCAACAACAAATGTGTTTAGCAGTGTTAAAACAACTTATTATGAGCCTTTATATAGCCAATACATGAAACTAAAATTTCAAATTTTGAATTCATCACTCAAGATGGCAGCACAATTGACAAAACCCTTAGGTACACACACCTCCGAGGTACACCACTCTCGTCTACATAAATATATATATATATATATATATATATATATATATATATATATATATATATATATATATATATATATATATATATATATATATATATATATATAGGCTGACCAGATTTTTAAAAAATAAAAAGAGTATACTTCCGATCAGGGCCGGCGCGAGTAGGTGTCATGTATGGGGGAGGGGGGAATGCCATTACAACTTTTACCCACTAAAAAAAAAAATATCCTCGTTTTTTAAAAATTTTTTGACTGCATTTACAATATTTAACAATGAACTGTTTAAATTTACTGACTTACTTGTCTAAGCATTTGCCGATTGACTGACAAAAAGGGTCAAATTTACAGACTTTTTTGATAAAGCACCAAAGTTTACAGCTGCGTTATCTGCTGAAAATCCAATAACATTATCTCGTATATTGTAAAAATTAATATTTCACTTTTTTTGAAAGCTGGTTTAACAACCAGCTCTCAAAATAAAGTCTTTTATTTTAAAAAAGCATATGATGCATCGAACCACAAAAAAAAAAAAAAAAAAAAAAATGTGTGGTTTGATGCATGCAACAACAAAAAAGTTTGCTTGTTCCAAATCTTTTTTTTAAGAAATCTTCAAACTAATTTAAAATTAAATTGTTAACAAGACACTCTGACGTTTTCCACACGTAATCTTAAAATTACAGGATTTTCTCAAAAATTTGATGTGCAGTCCATATCCCTGAATAAATGGCAGTGTTTTACGTTGTGTTATGACCATACAAGCTCAATAACTGTAAGTTTTTATCATAAGCAGCTAAATCTTTTAAAGAAAAAAAAAAAATTAAAGATAAAAAAAAAATTCTTAAAGAAAAAAAAAGATTCTAGCTTTTGTTTTATAAAAACTGATGAACATTTTTTATGTGTTTATGATGCTGCGTGTTGAACAATATTGCATTTGCTTTTAGCGACTATAGAAACCGTTGTTACAAATAGTGCAGAAAAATATATGTTGATCGCTTTTTATTCACCTTTTGGCAAAATATATACAAGTTTCTTCAAATATATCTAAAAATTTGCATTCTCCTTGAGTAATTTTATTAACTTAACTTGTCTCATTGGGTCCACAAGTTTATATTGTTGTCATGGTAAAAGAAATATTGGCTTAGAAAAAATACTGCTTAGATCTGCGCAAAATCATTTATTATTATTGTTTATTTCGACTAAAAAAAGAGAGAGTTTTAAAAATTTTACGTCAAAAAGAGTATAATACTCTAAAAAAGAGTACGTCTGGTCACCTTATATATATATATATATATATATATATATATATATATATATATATATATATATATATATATATATATATATATATATATATATATATATATATATATATATATATATATATATATATATATATATATATATATATATATATATATATATATATATATATATATATATATATATATATATATATATATATATATATATAAGACAAAGAATAATAAAGAAACAATTTTTTTTTTGTTTCCGTATTTAAAGTCTTTTATATCTAGATAGTAGATGCAAGATATCATTTAAATTTCAATAATGGCTGCTCATAAACTCGTGGACAATAACATCACCAACTCATAAAAGAAACAAAGCAAAAAATTCCACAGAAATGCATAAAGATAATAGAAAACTAGAGTATTGGTGCAAAAGAGCAACCTGGAAAGCAACTGCAAACTTTGAAAATTGAATAATTTCTGATGTGCTATTTTTAGCTGTTTTGTTTTTGCTTCATTTATTAGAACATTTCATAAAATCAATATATATTGTTACAATATATTTTGATTTAGTTATACTAACTGAATTTTTTCAGTTTAGAATCATAAACTAAAAAAATTAAACTTTTCTTTCTAAATTCCTTGTTTCTTTTATAATAATACAACATATTTAAAAAAATAGGGAATAACATTTATAATGGGAAAACAAAAATATGTTATATATAGATATTTTTAACAGTAAAGTAAAAAACTTATACCTAAATATAGTCTCAATTTTTAATGAATCACTGCCATTAAAAGGAATCCACTTTTTTTCCTCTTGAAAAAACCAACGAACTTTTTTTGATGATAAAGGTTGCAGAAACTCAAAATGTTTTTGTACACTTGGTAAAGTTGGATGCGGTAATGTTAGTGGTCGACTAGGTTTAATTTTTAAGTCAGGAGTTGTGCTCTTTTGCTGTGATGTAATAGTTGTGTTTTTTTCTGGTGATGCCATTATTGTTATAAGACTTCTTTCACATGATATGCTTATATAGAAGTTTTAATTAAAGAAACTTGTATACAATGTTTTTTACTAAAACAACTCATGCAAAAAATATATATAAATTACATATGATGTGATTTCATAAAAAAAAAAATCACATATGTGATTTCATAAAAAAATTTTTTTTTTTTTCTTCTCTTTGAAATGCTACTTTACCTAGATTTACCTGAATAAGAAAATTTATAGTGCTTTTTCTTTGTAGCTTTTTTTAACATTTTAAACACAGATTAGTTCACCCAACATCTAACTGGTTTTGAGAAGTAACATCACGTAATAAGTAAATAATATAAAATTACAATAATAAATAAAATTTCTAAACTTAAAAAACTGAAATTTATAGATTTTACTTTGCATTGTTTTTTACTGCATCATAAATTTTAGTAATTGTGATTTTAAAAATTTATTCAAAATGAAGTTTATGATGTATAAATGAAATAAAAAGACAATTCAATATAGACAAGGTTTGAAATAGTGAATGAACTTAGCGAGTGGACCAGATATTAAGGCAGTTTGAGCATGTTTGAATACATGAGCGTAAAGATACAGATAGTTGGATACCAGCATATAGCAGTTTCAGGATTAAAAAATATAAATGTAAAAGTAAAAAAAACTTTATGAGAGTACAGTGCAGAAAATGTAAAAAATTTATGTAAAGAAAAGAAGATCCAGGATCTGATCATGCATATAAAAGAAACGATATTATGAGCCAACTTGTGCAAGCATGGGAGCAAGTGCAATTAAACAATTATAAATAAAATTAAATTCTGAATGTGATTTCTTCTTGTTTAATCTAAAATTATTATCTTTAAAGATGTTTTAGCCTATCACTTATTTAGTAGAGTAGCCTATCACTTTTTTAGCTAAGTAGCCATTTCGTTTGTCAAGTTTTAATAGACTTCTGAAGGAAAGAAAAGTCAAAAAAACACAGTGGAATTAATTTAAATTATTTTGGAGCATGATGCAACTCACATTACAATTGATAATAATAAACTTTGCTAGTTATCAATTCTAAAATATAAAAATTTTCAGTTTTATTTCTTTTTAAACAACTTTATAACTTTTTAATTATGTTAAACTGTCTTATAAATTTCATTTGATCATTGAAAACTAACTAATATATTTCTTATTTTTTCTTATCATAAAGTTGATCATATCTAATGATTTCAGATGTTATGCCAAAAAATAAAATGAATTTAACAACTTATTTTTGGTACAACATGGAAATACACATAATATAAGATTGAACACCTATCATCTTAACAATTAGTCTGAATATTGAAACAATGTGTTTTTTTGTTTTATTTTTTGACAAATTTTAGAGTGGTTTATTTTTTGATGACTTTGCTTGGAGAATATTATTAATACAGAAAAATAAAACACGATAGAGTTGAAAGTCCCAATAAGATTTCATGGTGTTATATTATGATTTCAGACAATTAAAAAGTATAGACATTATCATATAATCAGGGTTTCCTTTAGTACGCCCTATATGTAATATTAATCTAAAAGCGACGCCAAAATAAAGTTGGCGCAGTGACGCTACTTAGGGTTACGAAATGTTTGGATTTCATATTTTGCGCAACGGTAGCATTGTTATTTACGAAATTACGGGATGTTTGATTTGTTTTTTTTGTTTTTGTTTTTTGTTGTTGCTGTTGTTGTTGTTGTTATTGTTGTTGTTGTTTTTAATTTTTGTTTTAGGTGCCCCAAGAAGACCTAATGGTCTTGTCATAGAGTACCGCGGAAGAGCATTTAACTAGGAAGTTAAATGCTGTTCCGCGGTATCGAATTTTGCTTTGAAGAAAAATTCGATACACGCTTCCTTTCGGATCGAATTTTGCTTTGAAGCAGATGACACTAATAGTACTGACAATTTCGTTTGGTAGTGAGTTTTATGTCCGAGTGATGCGAATGTTAAAAATGTTGAATTAAACGAGGTATTTTTTGTCGATTTCACGATGAAAGTGCTTGCAATGATCGTAGCCTGGTGGGATGTTAAGTGGAGCAACATGCCAGCTAATTGAGTTCATGTTGTTCTCGATTTTGTTTTTGTGGATGAAGTTGCCACGTAATCGAAGCGCTTTATTTCGTGAGGTACATTGGTAGCCTGTCTTTTCTGAGGTACGAGCACCAGAAGGTAACTGCGAGTTCGAGATGTCGACGTATATAGGCGGTGTAAAGCTTTTTCTATATTTTGGTGTCTCTGCTAATGATGGCGTGTTTTAAGAGTCCAAGAACATTATTGGCCTTGCCACCGGCAATTTAGCTTAATTCTCATGCTTTAAGTTGTTGATAATTTGAACGCTTCGGTTTTTTTTTGATAACGTTGACTCGAGTTCTGTTATTCTGACTTTGCTGTTAGTGTTATACTCGTTTATTGAGTAAATGTTGGGCGAAACGTCGCACTTGTTGATGTGCATAAACTTGCATTTCTTGCTCCATTAATCAGGTTCGAGTCAAGGTTGTGATGCTATCCATATCAGCTTGAAAACATGCTTTGTCTTCAGCAGTTTTGGCAAAATTTTAGTTTTAGATGCTTTCACTGTATTCAGTTAAGTCGTTGATAATGCTTATGAATAGCGTAGAACTTAGAACTGAAATTTGTGGAACGTTACTGATGATTTGCTCCCAGTTGGATGAGGTGTTACCAAAAAGAACTCGTTGTGATGTATTTGATAAAAAACTGTAATCAAGTCAAACATTTTACCTTCGATTCCGTAGGATTTAAGTTTTGGCAAAGTCAAAAAAGAGCACGTTAACAAGAAGTTTATACGCTGTAGCTTAGAAAAGCTATGGTCTCGAGCAGATTCGTGACGCAGGCTTTTTTATTGATGAAGCCCCGTTGACAATCGCCAATAAGTTTGTTGGCTACAAGGTGCTCCATAATCTTGTTTTTCGCCACTTTTTTTCATTATTTTTCATGGAGGTGATGGAGAATGCCTGTAACTTGCTGGGTCAAGTTTGAAGCCTTTTTCGAACAGTGACGTTACGTTAGCCAAGAGCTACAACTTTGGGACTACGCATTGATTTAAAGATTTCTAAAAATTATGGCAAGTGTGGCAGCCGCCGCATTGGCACATTCTTTAAGCACAAATGGGCTAATATGGTCACCTTCAGTTGATTTGTTGGCGTTGAGAGCAGATAAGTGTTTGTGAACTGAATCATAAGTGAAGATTAAGCTGTTATGCGTTTGATAAAAGGTGGTAAAGATTATTATTTCATTAGTTATTTATTTTTTCTTTCTCAAGTATGCATATAAAGATACATTTATTATCGCAAAAAAATAAAAAATATATACACAAAATTACTACATATCAGATTGATAAAAATACATTATTGTGATATTGATACAAACTTTAATATAAATTTTTGTATAATAACTATTATATATATATTTATTTTTCCAAACTATAATACTTAAAATAAGGGAAATCAAAGAAGACTCGGCATTTTTGTGTATAAAACTCAAAAAAAATCTTTTCGCAGATCTTAAAAGTTAATTTAAGTAAATTTAGTAATAACTTTTTTGTAATTAGCTTTGGAATTACTACTTTTAGTGTTATTATTATTATTATTTTATTTTTTTTTATTTAATGCAACCATTTTTACAAACAAAAAATATGCACCTTTGCTGAATATTCTTATATTGGCAATAAATGTGCCAAAGTTTTTTTTGAGTTTGGATAACGAGAGAATATTGCTGGTCAGCCAAGACTTCCTGCGTTTGGTCGGTTTGGAGAATTAGTGTTATTTAATTGGCATTTTTAGCTGACAAAAGGGCTAGTCGAGTTTACCGTTTGCTTTAAGGCCGTTATTGAGTTTGTACTTTTCGTTGTTTGTTTATTGAAAAGCTCTTGCTCTGGCCTTTGATCTGGCCTTATGAATACACTTTTGTATGCCTCTTTGGTAGCTAGATTTTTGGCGATTGTTAAAAGTTCGTTTCAACTTTCGTTGGTTTCAAATTCGATAATAAGAGACGGTGGAGCTAGTTTAGTGAGTACCGTGGCAGTTGAAGTTGTAGTGTTTGGCGGCGATTTGTTGATTTTGCTAGAATTGGCGGCTGGAAATGCGTCCTACAACTTATTTTATTACTACAAATACTTTAATTACTAAAATAATAAAAACTTACATTATTACTCCAAATTATTTAATTTTCAATAAATATAATAGTTAGTTAAAGCACACAAAACTATGTACAAAACGTAGTAAAATATAAAAGTTTCGCGATATGAAACTGAATTTCCTTCGTTCCTAGAATTGAATTTGAAACCTGCCGCCACTTGGTGTATTTTCCACAAAGCTACTAATACGATTTCACATACTAAATAATTTTCAAAGTTTTATACAATCATAAAATTTAAAATCATCTAACCAGACTTTGCTATTGTATATTTGAATGAATCAATCAGATTTGATTACCGTGACTTAAAAAGGAAAAGCCAATGCAACGTTGTGCGACCAACAACATTTATATTTTCTGATTAATTTAAATTATGTTGCATTCTTGCAGTATATACAAAGGAACAAGATATAAAACTGCAAAGATATAACATTTTAGGGGTAAAACTATAACTTAATAAACAATAACTTAATATTTCTAAATTAAATTTAATATGGTCATAAGCAGGGTGCGTACGTTTTTAAACGTTCAGTTGGACGTTTTTAAACGTTCAGTAGGGATTGAAACACTGATTTACCGGTTAACCGGTAAACCAAGTAAAAATGTATACTAGGTTACTTTGTTACCGGTAATTAAATCGATAAAAACCGGTACATTAGGTAAAAAAAAATTATGACAAATCTGAGCAAGTACAATCTGTTAATAAGAAAAAATACTCATAAAAAATGCCAACATTTCACAAATATTTTTTATAACTGAAAGTAAAATATGATGAATGGTAAAGAAATAACATTCTTTGTACATTGTTTTTTTTTAAATTTATTTTAGGTGCCCAACGAAGTAGTTACGGCCTTATCAGAGAGCAACGCGAATAAGCATTTGAAGGAAAGTTCAAGTCTCCTTCCTTAC